TATTCGGTAAATAAACCAGCGAGCATTAAAACCGCAGAGTATGAGCTGCAGAGTAGTAAATGTGAAAATGGCATGAGCGTACGGCTCGGGAGAAGGAAATGCAGAGGACGCCCCGGTCGAAGACTCCTCCTCCGATCAAGTGCAGCGTCTCGAGCGAGGCGGAGCTCCACACCCGCACGTGGGCAGGAAGCACCTGAGACACAAGTCGATAGCGCTGTTAGCTTTCACTTCATTTTTTATATCGTTAACTTTCCTGCTGTGTTGTCAAATTTCTCCAATCGGTGGCCCACTGGCTCCACGATTCTAGTTTTTGGTTAAATAAACAGAAAATGAAGTTTTGCACAGTTTTCACATGCACCGTTTTGTTTACAAACAAGATTTGTTTTCCCATTTATAAACCGAATAAGACCATTCACCCAAATTGTTGTCCAACAACTGAATTCATATGTAAATATTTCAATAATTATATTCAAATGATGTGATCAGCATCACAGCAAAAGAGTAAAACATTGTCATTGAAAACTCTTGGGAAGAAACGAAATTACAAAACTTTCTGACCTCACATCAATAAAGAGGCCTCTTAGCCAAACACTAGGTGGCACGCCGTTTTATACTCTGAAATGACTCTCCCTTGCATAGCACCTGAATGAGAAAAAATTTGTTCTCAGGGTTGGACACTTCTAGGTTTTATAAGTGACGTAACATAATGCAGTGAAAGGTGGCGGTTCAGCAGCAACACGCATTGCACCGACCCTGGTGATCCGGGTTGTATTGCTGGTCACGACTAACGTCAGTGGCACATGAGATCAGAACTGGTTCTGAGCCCTTTCCTTTCACTCAGCCGCTATGATCGGTACGGTCCAACGACCCCGTAACCAACAGAGCATGGGGGGTGGGGGAATAATTCAGTGGTGGATTAACAAATGGCTGAATTTAAAAATATATTATTTTAAAGTCACAAACCTAATGTACTTATCGTTTTGTATGCAGTTGTTGGTTAATGGGCTGATACCATAATCGCCACTGCCTGGATCTGAACCACGGATTTAATTGGTTTCAGGCTCTGTGCTGACATGACACAAGCCCCATGCGGCAACCAGCCAACTCCTATTTTGTCCATCAAGCACAGAGGCACGCCACTCACCTTCCCATCCTTGCTCTTCCCAACCACTTGCCCAGTTGCAACAATAACCTTGTCCGGATGCACGGCCATGCTAGAAAAAACACACACACAGACATTTAAACAGACACAGGCACTTAACAATGCACCCGTTTCTTGCGTAAGTGCAAAGAAAATATCTAAATTGTTGCTAATATTGTTGATCACTATCTATGACTGGGTCAATTATAAAAAAATAGCTACTTAATTTCAAGGTACAGGATACATACAGGATGAATATTTGGATAGCTTACTGTTAAAAGAACGGTTAACAAACAGGATTATCAGTTCCCCAATACAGTGGTGATTTCTGCCAATCATGTCTCCAGAATCGGTCACTGACAAATGAATCACCACTTAATGGGAATTCAACAGTTGCTAAAGCAAGGCAACCTTGGATTGGTCCCATCAGACAAGTGCGATTTCTTGCGAAACCACCACATTATTACAACCACACCAACTATGTTTGATATTTGCAACATTCTTATAGCACATGGGCTGTGCAAGCTTTACTGGCTGACAATGTCTTTACAACAAAGCTCAAATCTCACTCTGTGGTTTGGCCGGTGCAACCGGAACTCCCGGGCGTTCGGGAAGCGCATGCCACAAACAGGAGTAGCCAACTTGGCAGATGGCCCACCATTTGATGTCATCATCATGGCCCAGATAGTGGCGCTGCACGCCACTCTCCACGTGCTGCAGCACGCCCACAGCTGCCACGAAAAAGACCAGTTCCCCCGAGGGCAGCAGCTCCACGTTGGCGCGGCAGTCCTTGCCACGGTAGCCATAGCTGTGGGTGTCACCCGTAGCAACGCGACCCCTCCCTCCCCACCAGCATGGCGGAGGGAGTGGACGAGAGGCAGTGGGGAGTCAAGGGCAACCACTGGGACTTTTACCTGTTGTTTATTCAAGGGCCCTGCCGCTTTTAACGCAAGGCAAACACACCGGGAATGTTTCAACTGCCTGAAAACGCATTTACTTTTGGGAGATGGATTGTTGGCTCAATGGGCGAATGCAGCCTTTGCGGCACTGCCGAGATTCTGGGTTTCGATCCGGGCGGCCGCCTGTATTTAAACAGTTTAGTAAGCGAGTTGACGGTCTCGGCAAGCTTGCCAATGTATACGTGGATATACAGACCATTTCTGTAACATACGCTGCAGGTGGAGGACGGGCCTCTCCACACCTTTTGGACTGATGGTTATTTGACCATACGGCACCATGGTGGTCAGTGCACGTTGAAGGTCGAGGACGTGCAGAACAATGGACTTTTATGCACTGCCCTCTACTGCCCTAAACGTCTATTATGCCTGTCCATAGCACATGAGTGTCACCCATCCAAGTGCAATCCAGGAATAAAGCCTGCTTAGCTGCCGAGATCTGAAGAGGTCGGACGTATTCCGGGTGATTTGATCATAGGCTGGTTATCAATAACTGCACAATAATTGGCCAGACTATCCACCTGGAGGGATAAAGAGATAGCGCACGTAACTTGCAGTGAACTACTCTTTGCAGAGTAATGAGCATTTTCTAGAGTTTATTAAGAGAAGACGTGCCTCTAATCAAAGTATCTATCGTTCCCAATTTGTTTTAAGGTTGTACCACGTGTCGTTCGGTACGATGCCCAACGTTTCTCTCCACGTGCCGGGAGCTTCTTCAGGAAATGAACCCAGCAACGTGGAGCCAAAACGGACATTGTGCCGAACAACACGCAGTAGAACCTGAAAACACAATGGAGAGCTATCTGTACAACTGCGAATAGCTACACAGTTGTTTGACTATCATATAGGTTGTCAGATTGTCCGTCTCTGCAGCGTTTGAGTGTTAACCCCTCATTAGGTGAGGCTTTTCTCCAGGCGTTTTAGTTTATTTCCACACACTAAAAGTTAATCTCAAGCAGGAAGGCGCATCCTATATATCACTGCTGCAGAGAAAGATTTTATATTAAATAATGAAAAATATATATCAACTTTGTTTCATGATGGGGGCCGCTAATCTGTTACTTTCACAAACACTTGGTCAGGTGTAACTTTGGCAAAATTTGTTGTGTAACTGCAAAGAGCGAAAATTTTTATATTAATTGTCGTAGGAAAACAAATCTAAATATAATGCAGGTTTCCAGGATACGCCCACTCAAGGGAGAGTTTCTCTGCAGGTAGTTCCAGCTTCGCGCCTATCTTGTATCCCTCCACTGCGTCCTGAGGCATGAACATGGTGATGGGTCTCCCACGCAGGTACATGCGCACGTATCCATCTTCTGCAATAAATGAGTGCATATGTATGAAATAAAGCCAAGCACAATCTAGTATAATTTCACCACATTTAACAAAGTGATGAGACTGTTTGGAAACCACCATTACAACTTTAGCCGTCGTTTCATTAATGTTGTTATTTTTACTCAGGTTTTCCCATTGTGTCCATCATCAACTGAATGACAAGCTCATTTATGTTTTAACACAATTCAATATCCTCCCAGTGCGTGCATTATTCACGTCCCTTTATAAGCGTATCAATGGGCACTTCAAAAACTGTTCTTGTGCCAGGGTATACAGTGTGTGTGCAAGCGCGTGTGATGAACAGACCGACTAGGTCAGATTTCAGCTGACAAAAGGCTTCACCGCGCCAGAGATTAATCTATACGGTGCATTACATCACCATGTAGCTAAGGCTTTTATCCTGTCCACAATGCATGCGGAGCATCCATTCGCAAATACTAAACCAGCTTATCTGATAGACGCGAGGCTACAGCTACTGTACAGTTTTTACAAATTAATAGCGGACATTTGTTACCTTTGTTGAAAGTAGGCTCTTTGGCTTTGCTGCAAAGAGACAGAAACAGGTAAACGTTAAAAATAAAAGTGGAGCTCATTGTCAACCCAAATAAAGATGAACAATCGTAAATATACTACACGTATGTGTATAATATGTAAGAAGAAGTGAAGGAAAGGTAGTTGGCTAACACTTGCATTGTGAAGTCCAGTGGCCTGGGTTGAAGTATTAGCTAGGGCACAGAAGTAGAAATTTGTATCCATATTTGGATAGGGCCTCCCCCATAGGGACACAGTCTAAAATAAGTATCATTCCTCATCTGATATGAGCATATCTTACATAAAGACTTGAAATAAGTGGATGGCTGCCTCTTGGTATCCCTCAATTCCGAATAGGTACTCAGAGTATACATCTTAACATGACGGTATAAAGAAGATAAATTGAGCACTTTGCACATCTATAGTACTGCATATATGCTTAACTAAACACTATAGCAATTATTTCACCTGCCAGCTCCACACAATTACATTGCCACAAGTCCGGGTCGCAATTTTATGCAAGAATAATTTTTGTGCGTTTGGTTTCGATTGTCCTTTTGCTGCTTTTATTGTTTCTAATTTGTAGTTTTTTTCTAATTACATTAGCCAAAAAATATCTTTTACATAAATCACGAATATATTATTACGTGTACCACCCAATGCATAATAGACCACTGAGTGGAATTAATTTTAATAAATCGATGTTTACACACCGCACCAGGGACTCATTTTAGGCTGAGTCGACCTAGGGGAGGCCCAGGATCGTCACTGGTGTGGACCGCGATCCGGGAATCGAGCCCAGGTTGTCAGGTTCATAGCGCAGCACGCTAACCGCCACACTACCGCTCCCCACACACAACCACGTTTCCCCCAGTACTGGTGTTCACCACACCGGGGGACGAGTCTACCGAGGGGTGGGGCTCTGGCTAAGTGCAGATGCCGATTTCCGCTCGTGTTGTGCTTGGTAGCCAGGATTATACCGCAGTGTGCGAAACACTGCGACATTTCTCCCCACTCATACACAGTCACATGCATGCATACAGTGAATGCTGCATTGCTGCAGTTTTCATGCACGTTTTACAAGGGGGCACAAAAGCCCTCCTACTCTCAACTCCAATTCAAATCACCGCTGTATACGCTCGTAAGCCCTCCACCCTTCCCCACGGGACCAGCCTGTGTGCCGCACTGCAGCAAAGGCCCTATCCGACCGCTGCGTCAATTAGTTTGCTGGTCCATTAGCGCAAGCGAAGGATGTCTGCAGAAACGACCTCATCCTTTAGAATCACATCACTCAATACTGAACAGACAACTTTGTGCACACACAGCAGGTCTTGCATGAGACAGTGAAGGATACTTTACTGCACAGCACACCAAAAGGAGATGCATTAAGGGCACTGCAAGCATGTCAAATATGAACTCGAACATACTTTTAATTCCTTACCATTTCATACACACAAGGTAAATCATTACAAACATAATTTCCCCCTTCTCTCTCCCAAGTAGTTTTTTTTCTTCTTCTGGAAACAGACATAAATAACCACTAGATATACTACGATAGGCTCCTGTACACAAGAATTACACCTACCGATTGGCTCAACTGAGCATGCTGCTGGTTTTAAAATCAACTTCACTTACAATATGTATTTGATAAGGAAAGCATTTAGAATCATTAGCGCGAGTACGACTGGGCCACTTCTGTGATTAAATGTCACCGTATGAGCGGAGATTTAAGATGTCGCGATACTCGCAGGTCAAATGTCATGCATTCTGAGTGGACCAAATTTCCGTCACGCCTTTGCGCCCACTCAAATTAATTGAAATGTGTTTCGGAAGATTAGATTAGCATCTATGAATACTTCTACGCATAGTTTCAGACAATCCTCTTCTTACGAAGGACCAAAATTAATATCGTGTATTGAAACACATGCCATTGAAAACACTTGCACGCCTGTGCCACATTACTTCACGCACGAATACAACTATTGTGTACAAAAATCAACTATGCTCCCGATGCGATCAAGCAAGTTACTGCACAGAAAACCAAATCATGTCGTTTCACTGCTATATCCAATAATCCAATGCTAGTGAATTACTCTCACAAATGGCTAGGGAATACTGTATACCAGTTGCTAGAAAGGCCTCCCATACATGCCATTATTAAATTAAAACACTGAAAATGGGCGGGGACAGTAGGGCTCTTCCGATTAATATCTAGCAATGCCATGAATTGCCACGATTCGAATGAAGATTCTTTACATTGTTGTGACTAATAGCACCTCTAGTGCAGACATGTGAATCCATACAAATCTAGATCATGTGAATCCATTACACATGAACAGAAAAACATCAATTCTTACACACCATTTCAATTACATATATCGAGCATAAGAAGTGGTATGATTTGATGAATCAGTACATGCCTACAACCCTAATGGGCAGAGACCATATCAATTGGTGATTGTGGGAAGGTGATGCAAATACAGTACCATATCATGGTGGAAATCAATCTCTCCATAGGACCACTGTTGACTTAGAAGCAAGTGGTTCTCATTTAAATCAACTCTGGAGGGATGAAGAGCAGAGATGGCCCTGGACTGGGAATTACACTCTTGACATTCCACCCAGCTTAACACTATACTACTGTAACTATACCTTAATTTCTAATGATGTGGATTGGAATGCACGTGACCTGACAGGATAAACTGATACTGTGATGTTGGTGTGGTGGCACAATGCACTGTGCACTGGCCACTTTGAATAAAAAGGTTCTATTGAAATACACATCTCATTGACAAGCATTCCCATCTCTCATTTAACAAGTCCTCGCTTTGTTTGCGCATAAAGCTGAGCAGAGGACATGTTTACAGGTCAGCGATTTTATTGACCGGTAGTGGGAATCCAGCCAACATTCCACAATTAAAGAGGCAAGTCGTGGGAAACATCTACTGTTGGTAATAGAGGTTGTTGGGTTAGATCGCATCAATATGAATGCGTTGTTAAACCCGCCACCACCCGCCACAGCCAAGGATTTGTCACGTACACAAAACATGCAAATTCGTTACTTGTTCATCACGGGTGTGTTGCAGAGTAAACCCACAACAGTTAAAATTTGAGTCTAGTATGACGTTTCGCTGGTAATTATACCTACTATAATCACCCAGGAATGTCTGTCCTTAATGCTCGTGACGTCATTCCACATAGACCAGCCCCCTCATTAATATTAATGAGCAGGTGACAGCCTCCAAATGGACACCCCCCACCCCTCATTAATAATCATGAGCGGGTGACGTCATTCAATATGGAGTATCCCCCCCCCTCACTAATAATCATGCGCAAGTAATGCAACTCCACATCGAACAGCCACCCTCATTAATAATCATGAGCAAGTGACGTCATCCAAATGGACACCCCCCCCATTATCATCTACTATGAGCCAAGAATGTCTGTGTGCAACGCTCGTGACGTCACTCCATGTCGACCAGCCCCCCTCATTAATAATCATGAACAGGTTATGTCACTCCACATGGAGCACCCTCCCCTCTCATTAATAATCATAAGGTGACGTCCTCCAAATGGACACCCCCCCCCATTCATAATAATTGGTGGCTTACATCACTCCACATGGGGGGCCGAGGCGCCTCCTCCCCCCTCCTCGGCGTCAACTTACAACCCTCACTACAAAGGCAGAACCCTCACGTCATCACGTGATCTCCGTAAGGCTGTTGTTGAGACATCGAAGTAAAAAGGACGTCATGATGAACAAGGGATTATAACCTTAAAATGAAATAGGTCTGTGTCACCGCGGCCTTACAAACTGCACGCGCATTAATGCAATGAATAACGTCACGGCCTGCTTTTCGCTTGCAAGTTTCAGATTTACTGCGATACACCCGTCCTTGGACGGGCAAAAGGCTAGTAATTAATAATAATCTTGCCGGTAATACGCAACTTAACCCAAAATCCTCATTTTATGGATAATATTGGTCGTGAGCACCTACGTGTTCAACTATCTGCTGCCGGATTGCAATTTAAAAAAAAAAACACATATACAGTATGAATTTAAAAGTTTTCTGCCTTGCTATAATTGAAAGCACACAAGATTTGAGGTCGCCAATTCGATCTCCCAGAGCGGCAGTTGAAACAGTGGGAAGGTTTGTTTTTAATCCACCAGCCTCTGTCCACGCAGCCACCGTTAGCCAATCGACAATTTGCGTGTGGTGGGATAAACTGTGGGTACTCGCAACTCTGCCAAGACGTCTGGCCAGAGTGGAAGAGGTTAAAATACCACCGAGTGCCTCTCTGCAGCCCACTCTAGCGGAAGCTGTTCCGACAGCAGGAGGCTGTTCTGACAGCAGGAGGCATGAACAAGCAAATTGCAGATTCTCACCTTTAACGTTTATTCATTTAAATGCTCACTGCTGATGACCACTGCAGGCACAGTATTGCAGGATAACAATGTACTTGTATGCTTGATGGCACGGAAGGAGTGCACTAGATTGTTGGGAGAAAGCACTTGTATGGCATTGGGTGCTCAATTGAGCGTGGAGTTAGGAGGTTTGTTCACCAATGCAACCACGGTGCATGTACAGACGTCGAGGCACGATGGAGGGGCCACACCTCTCTTATCGATCACTCTGCAGCAATGGCCCTGTGGTTCCCGCATTCAAGATAAAAACACATTTGGGCAAACGATACCTATAGACCGTGCGTGCATCCACACCAAGGGCCACACACTCTTTGTACAATTGTTTTTGTTTTTACAAAGTGATTCGAGTTTGTCCAATCATAAACTCTAAACATTTGCAATATACGCTCGCTATAAGCACATCTTATACAAGCAATACATGGTGACATTGCACTGGTGGGGGAGGTCAACTTCTGATGCAAGTACACTATTGTACTTCTGATACGCGGACAAGTGGAATTGCTCCCAATGGAGGGTTTGACGCCCAGCTTCTACTGTAGTTTTTTTTCAGAGTCGACGTTATTCTCTCGAAAAATATATTCACAGTTTTAAGTTTAAGTGGTTGTAGTATGATATTCAAGAACATGGTGTGATGGGTTATCTTCCATGCCAAGCCCTGAGGCAGTACTGTAGTGCAAATGCAACTCCCTTGCTGGCAGGACCTAAGATCAACCACTGCACAATTCCCAAATTTGAACTCGTTAAAAAAATCTACTTTGGGAGTCGATTCAAAAAGTCCGCCATTGCGAGTCAGTGCTGCTGTAGTTTGCCCAGTACCACAGTCACCAACTAATAACCAAACATCGCATTGGTTTCAACTATTGACAGCTCATATATACACTGCGCATACCATATTGATGGCAGCTCTTGTTCAAACATTCCGTTTGCGCTTTTCTTCGAATTGTGTGCTTATATCCCTGTTAAGAATAATATCGAGGTTACTTGTTGCACCTAACTTTTTTTCCGGCGCCTCTTTCTCTCTCTCATATTTCTTTTCGATTTGCATGCGTTTCGTTAACAAATGTTAAACATCTCGTTTACTTGTGTGCAATATTCCTTAAGGGGGCCCTGTACTCGTTCCTCTGCAATGTGTTGTTGTATTTCGTGTACTGTCGCTTGGCTCACATACCACGGATCTCCATGGTAAACGTAATATTTAACAAAAAAACTTTTTTTAAAACACGCTTTAATGAAATGTACCGTAATAGTAATGGAAAAACTCCACAACTCCAGGAAGTAGCCCCGAAGCTTGCCATAACGTAAGGGGACCGTGGTGATTTACAGCCAACGTTAGTTGAGCGTGGACAATTTGACCCAAGCCGAAACATCACATATACAACAAAATAATGTTTAAAAATAGATTTTTTTTTTTAATGATAGAATATAGACTTGTCATCAGTATGACATAGTATACCAAGTTTGCAGTCGATGCCACATTGGAAAGTGGGTAAAAATTGAGTTACACGATTTGAGGATACACCAGAGTGAGTTAATAAAAAGCGTCTAATAAAAAATAGCCTGGTAACTAGCTAACAAAGCAAATAAACAAACTATCGCCACTCCACACTGCCAGAAAGACTTCGGCTAACGCATCATTGAACGCTTGGTAAGGGAATCAGACCAGGCTACGTTGGACAACGTTTTACCGAGGGAGTGCCAACAAAAGGTGCACTTCGGTGAAGTGAGATTGGTGGGAGACGTGGCGTCAAGGCTGTGAATAAAAATGTTATCTTCTCCCGATATTTTTTTATAAATGGGTCACCCCTGCACTTTATGGCGTACGTTTAACACGTCGTGGGCTTTCGCGACCAATATTATCCATAACGAGGTTTTTGTTGGGTTAGATCGCGTAAATGTGTCGTTAAACCTGCCACCACCCGACACAGTCAATTAGTAAGGTTTGTCACGTAAAACCTTACTAATTGGCTGTGTCGGGTGGTGTCACGTAAAACCTTACTAATTGGCTGTGTCGGGTGGCGGCGGGTTTAACGACACATTTAGTATGCGCGCGATCGAATCCCAAAATAAACCTCTTTAACGGCGTAACATCATCTCAATTTTTTTTTGCGAAACGTTTCCCAAACACACACACACAACACCGCTTATACAAGAATTGAAGATGTCAAATCGTGGCTTTCACTTCACAGGTTGGACCAGGGAATTCATTGACGTTTCACCGACCGTACCGTCTATTTAACGTGCAACGTCTGCGAAACATTCACCGAGTGTGTTTAACAAAGTGTGCGCTTGATAAGTGCGCTGTTGGCACATTTCCTGATAAGCTTTGTTCACATACAACACAAGACTCTCGGCTTTACGATTATCGCACGGGGGGTTATAGATGGAGCTCACTCTCTCGCCTGGATAGACTTTATCATGACACGCTTAATGGTTAAATGAACGGGCATGTTATCAATATATTAGCATGCTCTTTTAAATGGTCACGAGACCATGACCAGCGGGGTGAAGTATGGTCAAAGAAGCCCCCACACGGCATGGAGAGGGCCATTCATCCAGCAGTGGATTGAGAGTCAAGTACTGTAAATTTTTCTCCATAAACTACAACTGAAATGGGCAAATTCACGGTGAAATAAAGGACACGATGACGTGACTATACATATGAAAATTTACTAACCTTTTAGTACATTTAGTAAATGGATTAATAAAATGAAATGTATTTATAATAGTTGTTTATACCGAGTGGCTGCTGCTGCCTGCTAAACTTGTCAACCCATACGGTTTATTCCTGTACAGGGAAATTGAATTGAGGTCCATGATGGGAATTTGCAGGATGAACATTGAGATGCATATAGGGCACGGGGTGACCTTATTAGGGTCTGAATTAGTATGTGACAAGGTAGGCACTGATAAGGTGGCTGAAAGGTACGCGCCATGTGCATTAATTGTTGGTATTTGCAGTACCAGATGCATCACAATATTGTTGAGCAACGTAGGTGTAGAGTTGCATCGATTCACGTCGATGATAAGAAAACCCAACGGACACCCAACTGCCAGTGGGGAAAACGTTGTTCTTTACTTAATTAAACCACGGTAATAACGAATGCTAACGCTCGGTTAATCATTACGCGACACGTTCTCATGTACACAGCATGTAGATGCGGTTACAGGAAGAGCCCCCCCCCCTTATGGCCTGCGTCAGGCGGCTTAACTTAATCTTGCGACAAGACGAGTCGACTGAACTCGTACATCTGAAGACGAAAGATGAGCTGCGATTGAGATGCTAAATTGCCATCGTGTTGTTCGCATTCAGGCCGAGCGAGAAAGACGACGCTGTAGGACGTTACGCACGGACATTACATTATGTAATCTAATCGAAAGGTGTCAATAAAATATTTGGCGGGCAGGCGGGTTAAAAACAAAAAAAACTTAGGCCGCATTGTTACGTTGAACTTCTATCGCACAGCACGTAGCCACAGCTGTGCTAATGTGTAAACATGTTTTTTTTAAATATATCGAACGGCGTGGTCAATCCACTGCTTGATGAAGTCCTCCCCGATCTGCCTTTCGCTCCCATCTCCCCAAGTGCCGTTCCACTGCCACGCCATCACCCGAGTTGATGTTTCAATGTAAAAAAAAACACTGCATACACTATGCAGTACTTTAAACAGACTTTAGATAGCGTATATACGTAATGCCGTACTTGCACGCGCAATGTGTACATTTTGAGCGATTGTGTGCGTTGCATATCGGTTATCGAATGTAACCCTGTGCAGTGCATAACTCGTACTTATGGTGAAATGTGCATTGCAGCAGTGTGTCTACGGCGCATGTGTGTACACATAGCGAAATTGAACACATTATTTGTGTAAATAAACTTAGTATATAGTCAAGTGGTATATGCAAGCACCCACTACTGTATTAAGGTCATAATAAGCAGAGCCAACACGAGCGAGCGAGGCGTGGCCGGAGCCCACGCGCCCGGTCGCCTTTGTATCTCCCAGACTTACCAATAACTCAAATAACCGGTTACAGTGCTCATTTATCATTCAGATATACTTTTCCCTTTAGGTCGACTCTAAAGACAGCTGGATAACTACTACTGTACACAACACACACACGCGCGCGCTTGTGATAATCTTAACACGCACGTGGACTGTAACCTCCCTCTGCAGTCCGCTGTTGCTCCGTTACACAAAGCAGCAGCAGCAACAACAACAAACACAACTTTACCAAACTTAACAGTTGCATAACCGGGCACAACTCGCGAAGGGCTACCGCAAAGTTTTGACACTTTTCTTTTTAAAGAGGGGGGGAGGGGGAAAGGGCCCACACACCTCGCTCCGCCACCATCCGAGGTCCTACTCGACTTCTTGCCTTTGTCCATGTCTTTAAAAACTTTACACACAACTAGGGTACGTCGCTGCTCCTTTGATTGCTGCTCCTGTTGTTTATAGTCGTAGCGTGCTTCGCCCTCGCGGAGTGGTCGCGATCCGTCCCCACCCGCGCCCTTTAAATAACGGAAATCCGCGTCGCACGCGCAGCCAATGGGCGACCTCCAAATGACTCTCCAGCACGCCCCCCTCGCTTCGTGCTGGCGATGGTCGTGGTGGGTGACAGCGTGGGTCAGTAGGGTTGGTCCCAGACCTCCCTTTTCCCTGGCCACAGACAGACCCAATCACTACTACACGGTAGTGCTATACACTACACTATACACTACTGCACGACACGACTACCCACTGATATACACAACTACACTTAGACTATTATTCACTAGTACGCTATACACAGACTCTAGCTCTTCCTGGGAATTCGCAGGCCAGTCGAGTGACAGACACCGGCCATCGTGTGGCACGTGCTGCTGCTGCTGCCCGGTAGAGTTCCAGGGGGAGTCAACCGGGTGGGGGGGGGGGGCATCCTTACCAGGTGCTCGGTACCACCTCAACTGGCTCCTCTCGATCCGGGGGAGCAGCAGGGGCTAGACGCCTCACTCGATTACGGAGAGTGAGCCCGGCAAAAACCTCATTTCGGCCCCTTGTATCCGTGATCTCATCATTTCGGTCATTACCCAAAGCTCATGACCATGGGTGAGAATGCAGATCGACCTGTAAAGCGATGATGGACACTCGCTAGCCCCATCCCTGGGTTCACCCAACACACACAGAGACGAAAAGCTATCTCACCGTGTTGCCTTGACAGAATTTTGGAGCTAGTGCAGTTAGCGAGGACTGTGGCAGCTTTGAAGGTCGGAACGGCACACCAAGGGGTGGGTGGGTTGGTGTTCTTTCAGTATCGTTTGTTATCCATAATAGAGGTTTGCCAACGAATTGGCACGTTTTGTTTACTTGACAAAGCTTACTAATTGGCTGTCGGGTGATGTTGGGTTTAACGACACATTCGTATTTACGTGATCTCACCCAAAAGGTCTGTTGTGGATATTGGTCGCGAAAGCCTACGTGTTAAACTCGTTTGTTGTTGTAATATTCTGACCCCCACTTTTACTGGACATCTGTGAAAAAAGAGCTTTATAGCTCATCGGATTCCTCCAGTATAAATATTCAGGTACTGGTGTGGCCAACACAACGCACGCCCGGCCGCCTTTGTCTCCCTAAGTGGCAATGCTTACGCACCGCTCCAGGTACTCATTTTAAAGCTGAGTGGACCTAGGGGAGGCCCAGGATCCGACACACACCCAAGGTCCCCTCCACTTCTCCGATATTAAACCAACCGTGTAGGGTATTTGGTGATACTGGGTTAGCCAGTGGTGCACAAAGAGCAAAATAACATCAACACGTTCCTGAATAATACTATGGCCTTAAAAGGAAAACAATATTATGATAAACGACGTTTCAGGCAATGATCCTTCTTCAGAGTACAATGTAGTGGAAGATAGCAGCCTTCACTCTGCCCACTGTTCAGGGAGAAATCACGAATCATACCATCATTAACCCGGCGACCGAACATCGGTCATTGATCACCCAGTCTCCAGAGCAACAACTCATAGCACAATGATCAGTGTACGCTTGCACTTAATATATTTATCCAGGAAAGCGACACCGAGTCTAATGACGTTTTATTTCAAGAGGGCCTTGCATTGTTTTTTTTTAGATGAGAATGCTCATTGAAAGGCACTTTATAAAACGTGGTTTGTTATTATTAAGTCCAAGGAGGAAACTGAATGTTCCATCTTGGAGGATTCTAACTGGGGCCTGGAAGTGGTAATCACCAATTCTCAGGGTGGCAAGGTGGCCCTGGGTTCGATCCCGACCGTGACTGCTGTATATTTCGAGTTTGCATGTTCTCCCCAAGTTCGCGTGGATTTTCCCCCGTGTCCTCCAGCATTAAAGAGTATTTGGCTGCGATAAATTTGCACGTGATAAGCCACTTCTCGTTGGGCTATCATTTGTGGTGAGGTCGCTTCTGAAAAAGAGCAGTACAGCTCAGTGGGCTTCATCTGATAAAATAAAAAGTTTATTTTTCTATGTAAAGCGGGTGGACTCAGTAGGCGAGAAAGGGCTAAAAGCCTGCCGTGTTTAACAAGCCGGCCGTCTCAAAAGCGACACGCATGCCACTCGATTAACATATGCTGGACATGGTACGGTATGAATGGGAGAAACTAGGCAAGAGTTTTAAGGGTTCCGAAATCAATGGGCAAGCCGTGCGCCATTAGGAAGGAGTAAAGGGAAGCCCTCATGGGATCGATTGCCTCTAATCGACATGGCGATGTATATCCCCCACAATCCTTCAGTGTAGAGCCGCAGAGGAGAGCAATGTTTATTTTCTATCCTCAAAAGGTCAAGGTGACTGATGTTTTCAGGTTGTCCTGCATGTTATTATCATAAAACACATGTTGAAATCTACAGTACTGTACATCGCCATGCCAACACCAGACAACAGCAGCTGACAACACTTACTCTCACCGAAAGAACGTGAGCTGCTCAATTACATTTCTGATGGTTACAGCACGTGCACAGAAACGTCGGACGTAATAACGAACGTGCAGTACAACCCGAAAGCACACCTGGGCACTAAAATATAAGATATTCCAGAAATAATTTGATAACCAAAGGAAAATTTTACTCTCCGTGAAAGTTTATTAAATCAAGAATGTAAACTTTACACAAGTCTTCCTCTTAACAGGGTAGCTCAGTTTATATGCACATTTATTTTTACAGTGTAGCCTACATCCCAATTAGACCGAGGGTAATGTTTTCACTATCAAATAGCTGTAAATATTGATTTCCTGAAGTGCATTAGGGCCTTGACTCCCATTGATACCAGTCAGATGGGAAATCGAATTTACCCAGATGTCAATGTGAAATGTGAGTGCATGGATGTCACCATTAGGGTAAAGTATTTATTGGTTCAATAAACCTATTGCATGCTGCATAGTGAAAAAAAAACATGGCGTTATGAATGCTTTGTATATAGAAAAATATATCACTAATTTAGTTTACACAAAAAGGTGGAGCAGTGGCACAGTGGTTAGCACACTGCACGACAAACCCAGTGGCCTGTTCCTGTCTCCAGATAAAAGTGATCAGCGAGTGATATTTTAACGAGTCATCAAAACTAGCATTGACCAGCGTGGTGAAGCATGTTTATAGAACCATCATTACGAACATTTGGGGAGGACTTCATCCGCCAGTGGATTTTTGTTCTCGTGTAATATTAACCGTAACATACAAAACACGTGTGATCAGTCAGCCCACATGTTTAGCAAATGATGCCCACATTGCTGCACCCATTTATTTATTTTCATCAGTTGATTACATTTGTAGGGTATTGTACATGGCAAGGGTTACAGTGGGGTCAGTGGAGATAGGTGGAAACAGGTGCAGGGTACTGTTACGAGGGAATGTTCGAGAAGGGAAGTAGAAGACGGTAGAGTCTGCTGGAAGAATCTACCGGGGGAAAGTGCTGGAAGTTACCGGGGCGTGGCCGAGCGGGTATATAAGGGTGAGTGAGGCCCGCGATGAGGGCGCTGGCTCGGGGACTGAAGGACGACTGCAGGTGGACGACATTGGGGCCGACTGTTTGAGATCGACATCGTGGAAACCATCGGGCCAACTGTTCGAGATCTATATGGTGGAAATCATCAAGAAAGACTGTCCGAGATCTACATGGTGGAAACCATCAAGGACTGTTCGAGATTAATTTAGTGGGAACCACCGGGGCTGCAGATAATTATAGCTTTGTGAACGTGTTAGTCGTAACACGTTAACATCGTGGAAACACTGAACATAACTGCATTTAAAAAGCAGCCCTGTGTTAGAACTGATGCCATCAGAAAGTTGAGAGTTCAAATATCTCCAAGATTGAGTAGATGAATTCTACTTTGTAGGATGCCAAGAGTTGTTGTCTTATGGATAAACTAATCCATACCCACAACACAAGAGTGCCACTTTGAGCTGGGCGACGACTTTAGAATCAGTTATCCGAGGTGAATTACTGGTCAAAAGTAACCGTCCCAACACTGCTTGCGTCACCATGTCCTTGTAAATAAATCAACAGTCGTGCCAGCCTTAGGAAATCCAGCTAACTTGTCATTTTTATTTTTAACATTATAGCAGACTGCACTCTGAAGCCAACCACTCGAGTTCAATTCCCAGCCATGGCTAACATCAGTGACAAGTCATATCTCAATTGGTCCCAGTCTAGGAACCTCACCATTACCATCCCGCATGGATCAGCATGGTGAAATATGGTCCATATAGCCGCCACGACCTGCAAGGCATCAGGGAGGCCTTCAACCGGCAGTAGATTTACATCAGACTATGAATTTCTGTTAATTATTACCAAAATAACATTTGTTATCCAAAGCTTTTGCATCTAGAGCCCTGCTTGCCTCTGTAAATGCCACTGTGTTCGAACAAAGCAATATCACAGATTGGTGTAAATGTTCTCCTTGAGGTTTTTCTTCTGAAAGACGGCCGTTGCCGACTTCATGATGTCGTTAGTTTGTAGCATGGCCATGTTCCAGGCAGCCTGCACTCATCAGACAAAGATATCCTGAGGCTTTCCTGGATACAATTCCATTAATTATTATCACAATACATTGCACACACTCACCATGTATTCCAAAGACTCGGGGACAGAGTGGTCACGTGCGTACAGCAGGTTGACCTTGCTGCCCTGCACAGCCACAGGACTCTTGCTGGCGATGTCCTCGGCCAACTGCAGGGCCCCCTCCATCATGTTGGCCTTGTTGTCATAGACGTGGCTGTGGAGGACAGAGATGCACGTGCAACGGAGGGAAGATTCTCTCCCATGTCAATGCATCTGACACTGTGCAAGGGCTGCTGAAATAAATGAAGGCATCTTCAATTCCAGCTGTGCGGTGTGTCGTTCTGGCTGGGTTTATTGAAATGATTCTACATGCGTGCAACAACATCTTCAGTTTTGTAGCATTAAGAATAACAAACTAATGATATACTACTGCGTAGGTTTTCATGGTTGTGCTGCGTAGCTCTCCAATGTGTATTCGGGTTGTACCGTGTGTTGTTTGGCATGATGTCTGTTTTAAACCAAGTGATCACTGCCCCCTACTGCGAAAAATTTACAGGACCATCATGAACGAGTCGGAAAACTCAGCGAGGCTTTCCTGGGTAAACACGAAAAATAAATACGTAACAATGTGCTGGGAGCTTCTTTAGTACGAGGATCATCATGCCAAACAACATGAAGTACAACCAGAAAAAAACATCAGAGAGCTAAACCAATGCTATAGTTAGTATTTTTGGGCACTTGGTGTTATAAAACGTGTGTGTATCGCATAACACCAAGTAAAATCCCCCATGCTCCAATGTGCAAGGGAGTGGCACTCATCCCCATTAGTAGGACAAGTCATAACCTCTCACTTGCAAATGGTGGAAATTGCACATTCCCTTGGTGGTGGTATGTATATCCTTTGAAAAATCACGATTTACTAAATAGAAAGTGGTGTTCATTTGGTCAACCACTGAGAGCCATTGAGACCCGTGCACCGCATTTCAACTTGTGAATGCGAGTGCAGCAGTGATCAGTTTGAACCCAATGGTTGCATAAAAAAACAAAACAAAGTTGTGTTCACACAAAAGTTCAACAGACCTGCACCCCGCAAGTTCTACTCACCTGACCAAGCCGCTGCTCTTTGCTTCATCAGAAAACATCTTGCGTGCTGTGAACACCATCTCACAGACCAGGCTAATAGGGAATGCAAACCAAGTGTTAGAGGTTGAGGAAAGTGGCTGAGAATGCAGACTGGTGTGTGGATGGTGCCATCATTATTGTCCCAGTGTCACACAAAAGACTGATGTTGGAAGATCCTAATTATTCCAATGAAATATTAATAACTCCACAGCCTGATTAAAGAGCAGACCAGTGTCTCCATATTCATGAACAAGGGCTGCGCTAAGTTATCTGGCAGCTCTGAGCCAACCATGCAAATTCCACATTCCGATGGCAGGGGCCAGTTTAAACAAAGAATGCTCACTGTTGACTTCCCGCAAAGTTGTGTTTGTTTTATCGACCCGATGAGATGACAGAGTGGCATCTATTGCGGGAGTGGAGAACCTCTAGCTCACGAGCCGGGAACTTAATTTCATACAGCTGCGGCCACACGAGGCTTACCACTTAATATTGAGCATTGGCAGGTAAATTTAAGAGGATCAATTAAAATACTAAACAGAGCATTTGAAAAAAAAAAGTCACTGCAGGAATACAATTGTTTACCTGCGACTGCCAATAGCATGTGGCAGGCGTTGCAAGGTTCCAACATCTGCTGCTTGGCCAATGTCCACCTCCTAATAACACACACACTGCAGTCAGTAATAGGACATTGTAGAGATTATCATTAATCTGTGAATACAAGTCAGTGTGGTTCCTCGCTCAAACAATAGACAAGCTGTCTTTACCTACACTGGTGGCTCTGAGCTAGTGATAGATATTCCACATTCCCACGTCAGGGGCCAATCTTCCATAGAATGACCACTGTGGATTATCCACAAAGTGATACTCAATTCTATAGGACTGCATAGGCTTAAATTTCCACCAGTGATTTATAGCTGTCGAGAGAAGAGGACCTTTCTTGCTTATTTAAGCGGGGAAATACGTTGACTTAACTCACCACTGCGCATCTACCTCTTGACGGCAAAGTTGATCCATGATAAAAGTTGTGAACTTGCCGTGGTACAATGGTTAGCAACACTACTGACTTGCGATTAGGAGGTCGCCAGTTCAATTTCCTGGCGCTGTAGAGGAACCAATGGGGAAGGTTTCTTAAACCTCCCCCCTGCCCACCGACGTTTGTCAAACCAGCAGTAGAAATGGGTACCCCACGGTTATCTGACAGGCAGGTCGCGTGAATTGAGGTAGAGTGTGGGTAACTCCCACCTCTTCCAAGACATCTGGCCAGCATGGACGAGTTGGTTAAATGCTCTCTCGAGTTCCCTCTAGTGGAGGACCTTCCGCCAGCAGTATGTATCTATCCATAATATAGATTTTTGTTGTTAGATCACGTAAATGTGTCGTTAAACCCGCCACCACCCGACACAGCCAATTACTAAGGTTTGTCACGTAAGCAGAACATGCCAATTCTTTGCTAGTACAGCACACCGATCGTAAATGTTGTGGATTTGCTCTCCAACACGCCGGCGTGCTGTACTAGTAACGAATTGGCATGTTCTCTTGATGTGACAAACCTTACTAATTGGCTGTCAGGTAGTGGTGGGTTTAACGACACATATATTTCCGCGATCTAAACCAAAACACCTATATTATGGATGATATTGGTCGTGAAAGCATACATGTTAAACAGTATGTTGAACTTCTTTTGCACCCTACGTAGCCAACCGCGCTAATCGGACTGTTGTTGACAACAACAAAAAAAATCACATTTAAAAATAACTTCACTTGTTCCAAGACTTTTTTTTAATACGGTTCTGTTTGGTACCTGAATGTAGAGGGTGGTCCAGATGTCTTGTGTCCCCCTCCCACAATTAATTGACCCGTAACATGTTTTATTACTTTCCATGTTAATTTCTGTTTTAAATAAACCTTATTTAAAAAAATATATATATTACGTTTGACAGCATTTAAATGGAGGTCATAAGGCGTCTCGACCCACCCTTTACAATAGACATTGTAACGGATAAAGAGAATGAACTTAAGATTGCTATAAATGACAATAAATCACATTGATATAATGTACCCTTGAATTTAATACTGATATTTCACTATTTTTAGCATGCAGTGTTGTGAGGTTCCGCTATGAAAGGTGCTCTAACATATACAGTACACCGCCATACATCAATACTCTTCATATACCCGCCTGTACCTCATTCACTGGTGAGTTGGATGTGTGACACTGGACTGTACTGCGTTGTACAGTCTGGTGTTCTATGTAAATAAAAACTCTCATACGATTCTACCTTTGCCTGGAACCAGGCATCCTTTGTGCACACACGGATGTCACATGCTGAAATCATGTCCAAACCTGAAACAAAAAGATAGTTTTTGTTTTTATAAAAACAAAAAATAGTAATATTTATCAATTCAGATACTGTTTTACGCTATGAGAAAAAATGTCAGATGATGGTATCGTTTGAATTAATATCGATTCGGGAGGTTCACTTGGTCTATCATTTTTCCGTGGTCGATAAAATGCGTACCGCTTTGTGTAAAGTCGACAGAGGGTGTAATGTAATAGAAATGTATAATATTGTATCCACCAATGCTTCAGGGCCACCAGTTTGGCATGAGTACTCCTCAATGTGCATTTAATTATGGATATGCCATGAACTACTTTTGTAAAGGAAGCTTTTAGACGGTTTTCACAAAAACAACTCATTCAATGATTCCCATTTTTTTTCACTACTGACGTTAGTCATGTCCAGGAATCAAACTCAATTCTGCGTTCGTAGGATAATGCGTGAACCACTGCACCACCGCTCCACTTTAGTGCACAGAAAATGTATAAGAGCACCACCTCCAGGCCAGTAAAGTAAAGAACAAGACTCTACTGAGATGCATTTCTAACGAGCTACAGGAAGTTAATTCTGACTTCAACGTTAAAATCATCACTGTGAATATGCAACTAAAATTAAGAATACAACTGCCTGTCAAACTCATGCATTTTAAATTTAACGCCTGGATACGACTGAAGACATTTAGGTGCACGGTGCTTGTATACAGCACTGTGAAGGCGAGGGCTGTGGGCCAAACAAATGTTGTGAAGCTCTCTTCCTGTGGGCTATGAGGTGCCATACCCTGATATTGGAGGAGAAAGTGGTACAGTAATTGTGGTCTAATCTCCATCTGTTCCACCTGTATGGGAAAGAGTGTTTCCTCTTTCACACGCATTGATTTTCTCCCCATGCTCAGGTTTTTCCTCCACGTGTGTAAACACTCCTTAATTGGCTGAAAACATCTAAAGAGAAAAAAACAATGCAGGCCCCTCCTGAAAAAGGAGTCCTTGGATTCAAAATGCCTTCCCCAGGTAAGCAAGTCACTCTTATTGTGTTTTTACCTTCGCCAATACAAGCGCTGTGGACGGCTGCTATGACTGGCTTGGAACACTGGAAAAGAAACAAAAGCAGTTCAAGTGTCTCTCTGCCAAGAAGCAGCAGGGGGGCAGTTTGAAATCTCTTTACATCCCACAGCCTGTTAAGAGTAAGCGAAGCGAAGCTTCTCCCCGTCTCCTTTACCCCTTCACTTTAGTTCTTCCTCCCTTATCTTCCCCCTCCGCCCCCCTTTAAAAAACAGTGCATGCACCCACTCAAATTTGTCCCCTCCTCTAAACCCAGGAGCAGTAAGAGTTTGGGACTTCCGCCCGTGGAGTTTCGGTGCCCCCTCCCCACATCGCGGTTTGTGCTGCGTACCGGTCTCAAGCTGAAATACAACAAAATGTAAGCGAGCTTCGACAAGGACGTGTCCATAGAAGGGATGTTGGCCAGGGGTCCAAGACTGACACGCGGGGTGCAAGACAAAGGAGTGAATGCACCTGACAGGACGTCTGCCGCAGAGATGAAGGGATGCAGTCAGCTGGTGTGCAGGTGCTAGGATCGCTACAGCGCAGCACCACGAGAAATGGAAACAACTTGGGGAGGCCTTTATCTAGCTGTAGTCATAGCTGATGATATGAATGTCGAGGGCCAATTATGCCACGGGATAACCAAGAGTACAAGTGTATATAAGTTTGCTTACCTACTAAAATATTACCGGTTCTCCTGACTTCATTTACGTGTTTTGGGTTCTGCTTTGGGCTGTATTGGAATGTGACAATTAATTAATTTAGTGACAAACCACACATTGCATGGAAACTGCAGACCACAGCACAAGTTGCTTAGTTTTCCATGAGTGGGACCCACCTTCTCAATGACGTTGAAGGCCTCCTGGTACAACTTGATGACCTGCTTCAGGTTCCAAGCAACTCGAGCTGCATCATCTCCTTCCGGTGTTACCAGGTCACCCGTTATGTCCACAAGGTCGATGCCTAATAGACGAATATATTTGCTCAATATCCAATGTAAATGTCCTATTAAGACAAATGGCGATTGCGGAGCAAAAGACCATTCTATCTGGCCCGTTTTAAACTACTTACTTTGCACATTCAATTAAGTGTTCTCTTAAAATCAGTTGTAGGCTCACGTGTGAGCCAATGTATGGCAGCATCATATACCCTGAGCCTTACTCAAAAAAGAAGTGTCACTTTGTGGAACATTTTCGGAAAGAAAAACTTTTAAGATATTGTGCCCTTGACTAAATCACCCAGAACGGACCTAATATTGTCAGATTTTGGAAGTTACGCTCGATTGAACCTGGATAGCACAGGTGATATAGGTTGCGGAGCTACATTGTGGGCAGCACAGAGTAGTACAGCAAAATCCATTGTCATGTACTTATATGCCGCACAGCTCTCCGATGTATTGTTCTGGTCACCTGCACTGAACACCTTCCCAGATCCAGACACGACCACCGCACGGCATTCTTTATCGTCTGCGATGTGATTGAAGCATTCCACCATTTCCCTGTCAGTCACGTCAGTATCAGGTCAGATCGGATACAGTAAAATCAAGCATGGACGCAGAGCACAGACACAGCATATGGAGGTAAACATCTATAATCATGTTTGGGTCATTAGGTCATATCAGCCAGGCGTCGCCTTGGCAAAGCACTTGAGTTGCAACTTCTGGTTGTGAGTTCAACTCAGTTCATTATCCATATGGGGGTCTATACGTAAAAGTTTAAGTCAACAGTGTTCTTTGTAGAGTGGACGCTAGACATAGGGAACATGCAAAGGAAGAAAGCACTGCCAAAAATGTATTTGAATGTGGAGACACTAAGATCTATTTTAATAAAATAACGTTTGCTCAGGATTAGAGACAAACATTTAATGGTATGCAAAAAGGAGCCTGAACTTTGAAACTGGTAAAGAGTTGTTAGTCACGGGTTGGTATTACAGATAACAGGGACAGCAGAGGGTAAGGAGCACACCCTCCCATCAAGCTGAGCTTGACTGTGGGTGTCAAGAGTACATCTTGGTTGCTGAATCGCAGGGCATACATTTTTGAAAATCAGAGTTATCAAGCAGAGGCCCAAACACAAATCATCCTGCAACAATCAGGAAGATTACATAGCAGTTAATCTTTCCTGAATGGAGCAAGTTTATAAGAACGTGGGTAATGAGACAATGGGAAGGTATTCCCAAGTCTAGCAGTGCAAGATAAGAGGCAGGAAGCACAGTGTGGATGAGCCAAAGCAGTCAGTCTGGTAGACTGAGTCCTCATACATTGGTGGAGGAAGAAATGTATGTTGAACTTCTTTCGCACCGTAGGTAGCCAACCGTGCTAATGGGAGGTATGGGAATCAGTAGAGTGAAAGTTGAGATGACAAAGGCAGTCTTGGGAAATGGAATTTAAGACTTAAAAAAAATATATATCGACTTAGCACATCAACAAATATGGCCTGTCTCATCATTTTACTTCCAGAATGGCTGGTTCAAGGCGTTGCGCTTTTCTGGTCGGTTGATCTCCACTTGAACCACGTGATCCTTGGGCTTGGTAACCAACAGCGTCTCGTAGGTGGGCCCTGTGCTCATCGCGAGACGCCCGGACAACAGATGCCGCCCCAACAAGGTGATCGTTCCACGCAGCCCTGTGCCCACACACGCACGAGTACACAGGTCAGGCAGAAACCATTTATTAAAGTAGGGTAAGGGTGCAGCCATGGAATTCCTTGCTCACACCACTGCTGGTGGAAATGTCCCCACTGCAAGGCACTCGAGAGAGCACCGCTAAAGGGTGTTTGGACCACCCTTCCATGCTACCAGTTAAATACATTTGTAATTTCCGTTTATAACTTTTAGCACTAAACCCCGCACCTCCAATTAGCACGGTTGGCTACGTAGGGTGCGAAATAATTTCAACATACATAACTGCATTCGGTCTGCCGAACATATATTCTGAATTGTCTAACAATAAACGTAATACCATAGTCCAGCCGCGTGTGCGTCTTGGTGTCTGTTCAAACGTACCGCGCGCACACCGAAGAGCCCAGCCAGCGGTGTCATATGATGACTGCCCCTGACCAATCATATTTCAACACGCCATGCAGTTTCAACATTCGCTCGTGTCAATCAGTTACATTGTAAATAAAGATGCAACTGGATTTCATCATCCATTCCGTGACTTTTGGAATCGATAATCAATTAACCCTAGTTTAACCCCACCCTAGGAGAACTGTGTTGAGAGATCAACTATTGAGGTTGACCGCGAAAGACGCGGTTAGATTGCCACATGTCGTGTCCCGCTGGTTTCATCTCTCCAGGTCTCATTTTTGGCAGGCTCTATCAATGTACTCATGTTGGGGCTGAGATGACCTGGAGAATGCATCGATCCATCGATTCTTAAATTCACACGTGTTGGAATAAATGCTGTTAGATTAAAATAGGTTGTAAACACAATAGGTTCGTGTCACTCCTGCAACTACTAGGAGGTGCTATTATTCACTGCTAATTAAAAAAACACATGAATTGGGACGACTCATGGACCAATTGCTCGTTGTGTGGGTGGTGATGGCCGAAAATTGTTCCATTACTAGAAATGAATTTACAATGTTCCTTTTGGGTGTACAGTGCTCCAACAACATCACTATCTGACCCGATGGTGGAATGTATGGTTAGGCTGATAACGATACGAGGGCTTGAACTGCAAAGCTTTAAAATGCAAACGGCGGGCCCACAGAATGATCGATCTTCTTCTTAGTTAGTTCATTTATTTAGTTTAGTTCATTTATTTGGTATAGACCTGTGAGCCATTCGGCTCTTGAATCGGGTGCAACCGCAACAAACAAAAACATGAACAAGAAAACATCTTAAAGTGACTATGTGACTGTGCAAACAGAAAATGCAGGAGAAAAAAAACATCAAAATATTCCTGAAATAGCACCGTACACCAACGCTGTGTGCAAAAATCCCAGTGGGATGCAAGTCAAACAACAACAACCACAAGACAACTAAGATTAAGGCCATCAGTCTAACTCCGTACTACAACTGCCATTCCGTAAAAACAAAAAGTTCAGTCAGCTCCACTATTCCACATGGACAATTCAATTCACTTTGACGGCGGGATGGAAAAAAAAATACTTGTGCGAACTTATATAATGTGTCTATATATATAAAACATTATACAGCTACAATTATCACGCAATGTTAATACGGTATTTTAGTGCAGAACACTTTAGCAAGGCTTTCCTGGGTAGATAACATGCATTGTTATAAAACCAAAAACATTGGCTTTCCCCACCAATTTCTGTCCCAATTATGCAATCGGCGTCACGTCATGAGATTAATCAGTTTAAAATCATGAATTTTAAGCAGTGGGTTTACATAGGGCCTCTGTATGTAATGGGTAAAACAACGGCATGAGATCGCTCTTCAGTATTCATATCGCACTGTAGACAAATTAACTCCTCTGCACTTCATAACCTGTCAACACAAACCATTTACCCCCGTATTCTTGTACAGGTAAAGTGAGTTTCCAGGCCCATACAGCGTACAGCCGTTTCAATACGGGCAACATTTATTGTGTCTATTTGTTTGTGTTTCTCCCCTGCGATGGGACTTTGTAGGATGAACGTTGAGATTTGTAAGGGGCACGGGATGACCTATAAGGTCTGAATTGATCTGCAATAAGACAGGAACTGATAAGGGTTTGACAGGTATGGTATTTGGTTCACTCTCGATAAGAATGGTGTATATATGTGTGTGTGCAATCGTTTAGCACCCAAATCTTGCTTAAAGCGAAGTACAACTTTAGGATGAAGTTGTCCTATTCGTGGAGACTATTTGCGGACCCGATGTATGGCTGGGGCAAGTCTAGTGCTTGTACTGTGTTCGCCTTCACCACTGTCAATCGAAAGATAATAAATAACTACCGTCATTTAATACACTTTGGCCATCGCTCTTCATCTTTCGTTTCTTTCTCGCTTTGTTTAAAATGCAGTAGAAGGCGCAGACTGAAAATCCACGCGCTAATCACGATTAATGATATAGTCCACCTCCCAACCCCACAATTGCATTAACTAAGCCCCCCACGATTGCGTAAACAAAGTCCCCCAACAATTGCATAAACAAACTAAGCTCCCCCACAACTGCATAAAATAAGCCCTCCACAACTGCATAAACAAACTAAGCCCCCCACAACTGCATAAACAAATAAGCCCCCCCCCACAACTTCATAAATAAACTAAGCCACCTCCCCCCACAACTGCATAAACAAACTAAGCCCCCCCCACAACTGCATAAACAAACTAAGCCCCCCCATAACTGAATAAACAAAGCCCCCCACAACTGCATAAACAAACTAAGCCACCTCCCCCCACAACTGCATAAACAAACTAAGCCCCCCCCACAACTGCATAAACAAACTAAGCCCCCCCCCATAACTGCATAAACAAACTAAGCCCCCCCTACAACTGCATAAACAACCTAAGCCCCCCCCTACAACTGCATAAACAAACTAAGCCCCCCCAACTGCGTAAACAAACTAAGCCCCCCCATAACTGAATAAACAAAGCCCCCCACAACTGCACAAACAAAGCCCCCCCCCACAACTGCATAAACAAACTAAGCCCCCCCCCAACTGCGTAAACAAACTAAGCCCCCCCCAACTGCGTAAACAAACTAAGCCCCCCTCCTACAACTGCGTAAACAAAACTAAGCCCCCCTCCTACAACTGCATACAGAAACTAAGCCCCCCCCCACAACTGCATAAACAAACTAAGCCCCCCACAACTGCGTAAACAAATCCCCCCCCCCCAACTGCATAAACAAACTAAGCCCCCCCCCACAACTGCGTAAACAAACTAAGCCCCCCACAACTGCGTAAACAAAACGCATCCCCCGCCCGCAAGTGAATCAGCAGCATGAAGCTCACCCGTGAGCTGGTGGTGAGCTCTTGTCATCAACACGGTCGCCATTCTGCAGATGGGAGGCAAAAGTCGTCGTTTCTTGGCAAAAAAAACCATTAAACACGAGTGTTTCAGACAACAAACTCCTAAAGTTCGGTATTGTAACGATAATACAATCAGGCAAAACTTTATAGAACGCGGTTCCCGTACAGGGCAAACTTTTTATTCTGCAGTAAGTTGGTCGTTTAAGTGGCCGGCTTCTTGCCGTTCAGCCGCGGTTACTGCTGCAGATGGAGAAGAGCGAATAAATATAAAAATAAGTGAGAAAATATATAAATATATAGACAGTGTTTACGTTTGCAAAGCGTGACGTTTGATGGCAAACCAAATGGCGTGAACGAAAAACAAATGTAACGAAGCGGCCGAGAGAATAAAGTTGTTCAATAAAGTTATTTTGATATGGTCACACGGACCTGATTATAAGACGCACCCCCATGTGTTCAATAAACTTATTTTTATATGGTCACGCGTACCGGATGATACGACGCAACCCCCCTCCCCAATGTGTTCAAACGTTATTTTAATATGGCAACACACGTATCGGATTATAAGACGCACCCCCACACACATGTGTTCAATAAAGTTATTTTAATATGGCAACACACGTATCGGATTATAAGACGCACCCCCACACCCATGTGTTCAATAAAGTTATTTTAATATGGCATAACACGTATCGGATTATAAGACGCACCCCCACACCCATGTGTTAAATAAAGTTATTTTAATATGGCAACACACGTATCGGATTATAAGACGCACCCCCCGCACTCCCATGCGTTCAATAAAGTTATTTTAATATGATCACACACGTATCGGATTATAAGACGCACCCCCCTCCAAACTTGTGCTTGTGTCCAGTAAAGTTATACGAATTATGGTCACATAAAAAGCACGTTAAGGACAATTTAACACAAAAGCTTTCGCGACCAATATAATCTATAATGTAGGTTTTTTTTGTTGAGTTCGATCGCGTAAATATAAATGTGTCGTTAAGCCCACCACCACCCGACACAGCCAATTAGTAAGGTTTGTCACGTAAACAGAGCACGCAAATTTATTTAAATGTTGTGGATTTGCTCTCCAACACACCGGTTGTGTTGTACTAGCAAACGCATTGGCATGCTCTGTTTACGTGGCAGACCGTACTAATTGGTGGGTGCCGGGTTTGACGACACATTTATATTTACGTGATCTCACCCCCCCAAAAAAAACGAAACCTACATTATACATGAAGTACAATTTGCAGTACACGTACTATTTCATTGCTGTACATTTCACTTACGGCTTGGTGGCAATGCGTTCCCTGTACGCACGTCTATCTCAAACGTTATGGAACGCACGTGCAACAGCGGCGATAGCATCTTGCAATCCAGCAAGATGTTTCGAGCAAAAATAAATAAACCTCTGTCGACAGACGGAAGGCACTCGCAAGGCCAACGCCGGGCCAGTTTGCTTGCAAAAAAAACCACATCTTTAATTGGACCGTACATCGCATTAAAAAATAACGTGAAGGCACGGTTCCAGGGTCATGCTTACGAAAGATTATTCCACACGAGTCGTCCGAAGAGGATCGTATTGTTCCAAAGAGCACCAACACGCACACTTGTCCAGCACGAACAAAGAGCCTCCTCTTAATCCCCGTAGCCCCATTCGCTATGCCTCCCACCTCATATACATTCTGCTCTACCCCACCATTTGGTATAACTCTTCCCCTTCCCCCATATCTCCCCACATTCCAAACAACCACCCCTTCTTCCTGTGGGTATGGCCGCTTGTCCTTTCCGTGAACACCCCCCCACACACTCAATCCTAACGTCTCCGCACGAACTCCACACTTGCATGTGCTAATTTTGTACAAACTATAAACTAAACTACATATCTATATTTTTTCTACCAGGTAATGTCCCACTGAGCTGTATAGCTCTTTTTTTTTTCAGAAGCGACCTGGCCACAAATGATAGCTCAACGAAGTGGCTTATCACGTGGATATTTGTAGCGGACAAATACTGTTCAACGCGCGTTTCTGCAAATATGTAGTTCACGTGGCCTGAATGTTGGGTTGATGCTCCCAAGTTGCTGTTTTTTTAGTTTCGATCCAACAAGCAGTTGCTGTCAGCAGAGTTCAAAGTCTGCATCAGCAAAAACAGTGCGGAGAATTGTAGGGCAGATTGTACGTGTCCAAGCTCCCGTTCGAATCTGTTATGCCTTATTAGGGGCCGTCCATAAATTACGTCACGTGATTTTGGACGAGTTTTGACCTCCCCCCCCCTCCTTGTAACACGGCGTCACAAAAAGTCAGACCCCCCCCCCACTCAAATATGACGTCACAAAGCTCTGCACCCCCCAAAATAATAAAACATGCTTCAAATCGCTTTAAACTATTGTCATTGTAGTGCGTATTTAATGTGGCGCTGCACTCTGATGTTGTAGAAAACATTTATTAAAAAGTATATTTAATTAAGTAGAACGTGTTTATTTATTTAAAGTTGCGCATTTTGATGTGACGTCACAAGCACATTTTGATGTGACGTCACATTTCTCAAACCCCTCCCCCCCCTTGTCACACAGTCACAAATGTCTGACCCCCCCCAGCTGCGTGACGTCATTTATGGACGGCCCTTAAAATGACGATCAACACTAACAGCGTATGATATCTAGACTAGCAGCGGTATTGCAAGGCATCTATTTTGGGAGTGCATGAACTACATTATGCGAGCTACACATTAATTCAATTAATTACATTAGTTTACGCCACTGCTGGCGAGAGGGGCCTTCTTCCCCTCATTGTGGCTAGACGTCTGTGGAAGAGTGGGAGTACCCAGTTTACCCCACCTGCCGATCGACCTGTGGGTGTTATCATCTATTTTTTACTGTTGGACGCACAGACGCGGTGACGATTGATTGAACAATCCTGCCCATTGTTTCAACTGCCGTGCCGGGGCTGCAAGTGCAGTGTGCAAGCCATTTGTACTACGGCATCACCCCCAGCTAGATAGTACTGAGCTGTAGTAGTGAAAATAGGGCATGCTTAAGCGCACAAGCGTTGGAATTCGACCCAGGCTACGGGAATTGTAAGCAAAGTGCCAGTCCAGTGACCCAAAGGACATGTATCTCGATGTTTATCAGTTGTTGACCTTTAGCCCGGTTTACTGTGCTTGCTTGCAGTGGTTCTACGTTCTCCGTACAAAAAAAAGCTTGAAACAGCAAAGAATGAAGTTAGTGGTCACACTTTCTGCCCATAAAAGGCGTTAAGCACAGAGAACACAATACAGTAAATTTTATGTTTTAATCCAACGTTTGCGGCAATGAAAATATCAAAAATAACGTTATCTACTTATTTCCATAAGTAAATAATTCAATCAAAAAAAGGCGGTCACGTTATAAAGCACAACCATTATCAGGTGTTTTGAAACATCTCTGCTATTCTCCACCACAATGTTACATACCAGTCAACATTATCAGTGCCTACCTTATACAGACCAGTTCAGACCTTATTGGTCACCCCGTGCCCTTATAAAATCTCAACGTTCATCCTACAGTCCCATCACAAGGGAGAAACACAAATCGACACGTTTTTTCCCGTATTGAAACGGTTGCACGCCGTCAATTTCCCTGTAAACCGTATGGGTGGGCAGGTATGATTATTCCAACTACAATTAACTTTGGTGTACCGTACATGCATAAGGCAGAGTTAATACACGTTAAAACCATCCACTAGAGTTAAGATACAGCCAATGGATTTTTTTTCATACAGAATCAGATAAGAATCTTTATCCTGAAGAAATCCGATGATCTATGAGGTTCTGTTGCACAGATGTCCAGTAGGGGCAGGTCAGTTGTTGCTAGAAAACAGTAGGCGATTATAACTATTTAAAATAAAACCTCCCTTGGGGTAAAGCACATCTCTGAACTGCTGGTGAAAACGCCATGTTTCTGCAGCAGGTACAAGTGCCACAAACCAATCACAAATTGGTGCAGACCAATGAAGTGACCCAAGAGCGTAGAATCAAACTTGGCTAGAAACTGAACGCTCATATCCACCCACTGCTCCTATATACACAAAAGGGCTGACTAATTATAGGACTGATATACTGCTTTGATTAAAGGCATTTCTTACCATTCGAAGAGTGTATTGCACTTACATTTAAATCGTGATAAATTTGAAGACTGTTGGTAAAACCACCCGCATGATCAACCATTTGATATTTCTTTACCATAGGATCATTCATATTGGTTCAGCAAATATTGAGGACCGTTTGCAGTACATGCAGTGGAAATTCAAAGGACAACTACAGTTTAGGCTATTCGCTCTCTCATCCCTCAAAATAATTTCTCATGAGCAGCACTTCTCCCTATAGCCCTTTAAAAGCCATTATATCAATATTGACACTGGGCCATATTATTTGATTACGTTTTCTGCAATGTCTTAAGTTATCACATCTCAAATTGTAATAAATTGGATTGACGAGAAGTATATCACAGAAAATCAATACGAGTGCAAATCGTGAGTGAGACAGTTTAACTGGCTCAATAATTACATTATTGGCATGTTTGTAAGAATTTAACTCGAACATTTTAGTCGTATAAAGAATTTATGGTTGCCTTTTTATGAATATACACATTGCAGTCCACTATCCATTTCTTACACCAATAGTCCCATCTTATGTGACCACTTTGTAGATTGACTCAAACCAAAGATTTACATCACAGCTTGGAAAAAACAGTTTCTTTGGGGTTTTTCTTTTGAAGAACGGCCGTTGCTGATTTCATTATGTCATCTGTCTGTAGCATGGCCATGTTCCAGGTGGCCTGTAAAATAACAGAAACAAGGATACACATAATATATATTGGGTTAAATGCTTGCAGTACTCAATTGTATGTTTCAGTGGTATAAGTCCGTGTATTTGTTCGGTCCAAAAGCTTCAATTATGAGGGATGCGGATGACATCATCACGCAGATGTGCGCAGCGACATTGCTAATGGTCATATGCCTACCTGCACCAGTCAGCCAAGCAGCAACTTGTTCCAATCCAGTATCATGGTTTTAAAAACAAGCCATATCGTTGCATAGTTGAGATGAGGATTTCAGTTTCAAGAACTTATGATTACTATGGTACACATACAACTCTCTGCAATCGCCACCCACAGGACTTGCACTCACCATGTATTCCAAAGACTCCCTGACCGAGTGGTCACGTGAGTACACGAGGTTGACTTTGCTGCCCTGCACGGCTACTGGACTTTTGTTAGCAATGTCTTCGGCAATCTGCAAGGCAGCCTCCATCAAGCTGGCCTTGTCAGGAAACACACGGCTGAGAAGCGGCATGATGAAATGTGCACAACATAACCTTTATTAATAACAGAGGAAATACTTGAGCATGAACGAATACATTTTTCTTGTGTTTCAAGTAAGGTCCACAACTTGAGGTTTTAAAAACTGTTACTTTTTCAATGGCATGGTGTGTATGTGTTTTAAGTTTGTATAAAGTGTAGGGTTGTGTGGGCTTCAACACTTTCACACAATGGAGACCGAATAGTTGAAATAGCAAGACAGAAAATGCAACATTAACACACATCCAGTTTAAATGACATTGACATTCAAGCATATCACTACCAATTCACAAAAAAGCATCTTCAAGAAAAGAGTGCCAAGATGTCATGCACCGAGAGTAATGAGACAATACAGACCCAATTTAATTTGACGGTCATTTATTTAACCAAGTGAGAACAGTGATATATTTTCACCAACCTGCACTAACCAGTGTAAAATAGTAAAGTATGGTAAATCAACTCCAACGACTGACACATTGTAGGGAGGTTTTCATCCAGCAGTGGATTGACACATGGCTTAAAATTATTATGATGTGTAATAATATTGCACTGAGGCAGTTAGTTGAGGCTCCCTTTTAAATTTGGGATTCAGATGACCTCATAAGAGAATAACTATTTTTAGAAATGCTGTGACAAGGTCTTTAATGTCTGGTCTACAGCATCTGTTTTGCTAATTTCCCTGTACAAATTACTCGGCACCAAACCATCATATCTGGCCCAATGCATGAGCACCACGAGGGAAACCAAGAACCTCAAATGTAACAGTTAATTCATGTTCTTGGTTCTTTCGGTGAAGTCACGTAGAAGGTAAACAATAAAATAATAAAAATATAAAACAATAAAATGCTCACGTTTCGACTGCAACTCAAGCAATCATCATCAGGTGTGAAAACCACAGCAAGAAAATTTGAAAAAAGTGGCGTTTTTTTCTTAACGTTAGCACCACGGAGAGCGATTTGGCAGTTATTCAGATGGACGAGTCCATCTATTGTTTTCCTTCTACGTGACTTTACCGAAAGAACCAAGAATATGAATCCCTGCAGTCACGAAACCTTTAAATCAAAAGTTAATTAATGCTTATACAAATATTAAACTTAATAAGCATTACTCTTTGGTACTCTCGGTAAAGTCGCGTAGAAAATCAAATCAAATAATAATAGAATACGACGTTTCGGTTGCAACACAAGCAACCATCATCAGGTAAGAATGAATGATGAAACACAGACACGGAAACAACACAGGCAGACACACATGCAGAGAGACACACACAAAGACACACACCAAGACAAATAAACCGTGTGTATTTGTGTTTTATCTTGGTGTGTGTCACACTCGGTGTGTCTTTGTGTGTGTCTCTCTCTGCATGTGTGTCTGCCTGTGTTGTTTCCGTGTCTGTGTTTTATCATTCATTCTTACCTGATGATGGTTGCTTGTGTTGCAACCGAAACGTCGTATTCTATTATTATTTCATTTTCTACGTGACTTTACCGAAAGAACCAAAGAGTAATTCCTGCAGTCACGGAAGCTTCGAATCTAGTTTAATAAGCATTGCAAATGATTGCCTGGGTTAAATGCACTCACCTGACTAAGCCACTGCTCTTGGCCTCATCCGACATCATTTTGCGACCAGTGTACACCAGATCACAGACCAGGCTGAAGGGCACAGCGTGAAAAAGGAATATTTAAGTTCAATGACATGCAACCCAAAAAGAACATACATGTTGCTGCATACATCACAAGGCTGTGTACCCCTATCTGTCCAACTTGGGTTTCAAGTTTTGTTGACAGGAAAAAGTCAAAATAAGTAGATTTTAGAAGCACTGCCACAGTGCTATTAATTATCTAAATGCAGTTTAACATCACAATAGTTACATCACTGAAGTGGAACAGCAATGCTTCTGAAAGTTACTCCATATTGCATTGAACAC